TGTATGTAAATAAAAATAAAAATAAATCAAAGTTATTTAGAGAAATAATGCTTTGTTCTCGAAAAACGCTTTACGGCACTTTGCCAGATTTTATATATTTATGAAGACTGTGAATATAAAATGTAGAAATCGTCATGCTATAAGAATTATATATTTTCCATCGCTCATCGTCTGGCGTCAGTTTTTATGGGCTGGGTTCCAATCTCAGCAATCGTGTAATCTATATATGCCCGAAATTAATATTTCTGCGTGATTTCATTATTATCGACAGATTTCCCAACTCGCAGACGATGACTTTGATGACCCCACTCCACGCTGACTCACTGATGTCATGAACAGAGACAGACAGAAAGAGTGAGAGAGAGAAAGAGAGTGAGAGATAGAGAGTTTGTATAATTTTAATGCACGCCCATTTTAGTTGTTATTCTATGGGCTCATGGCCAGCCTTTGTGCTCTTAATGTGCCTCGCTGCAGGACTTAATTAGAGCGCTGTTTGTGCAGATTTCGACATTTTGCTGTTATGATCCAATTTGGTTCGTTTAAGGACACATACGCTGGCCATTTGTTTGCTCATTTGTCTGGCTGTTTGCTCGATTGTCGCCTGGCAGCTCCAAACGCCCAGACACATTGATGCCCAGGATTAGCAGGGGCCATAAAGCCAACATGTGTGCACAGCAGGCAGAGCAACTGCCCAGCTGTCCAGTTGCCTTGCTGCCCAGAGCAGAACGTGGGGCGCCCAGCTCTAATTAATGTCTGGGAGGAGGTCAAACAGAACTGAGATTAGGTGCTAGATTCGCATCTCCCGCTGCCATGGAGTCACCAACGACGGGTAGCTGGCCAGTTGCTGAGTGCCGAGTGTCAATAGATTGCGCCAAGTGCATGATTCGACTCGGGTGCACTGGCTGCAGCTCACAGTGCGCGTGGAGCGGCGATTTCCTGCCAGCCCACTCCAGATGGGGGCTAAACACACGCTACTTGAATTGACTTCAACTGCTGTCTGGGCAGGTGCAATTGCCAGGTAATGAATGACAATGCCTCCTCCAACAGCTGAACAGTTGCTGACGTATGCGAAGTGCATGTGGCAATAATAGATCCCAAATACTTGATGCATGTCGATAGCTTATCAGGCCACTCACTCCGCCCATTCCCAGTTATGTGAAGTGCTGAAACATGTAACGTAGACATCCAGAGCTTAGCTCAAACTTGAACTTGATAGACTGATAGAGAGCGATAGGAATTAGTAAATGACCTCGCAGAAATTGTTCTCAATTTGATAGAGTCTGTTGTTAATTGTTGGTGAATATCATTTGAATAGCTTCGCTGGAGTGAATGGAAGAGACTTCTGTAAGTGTTTTTCCAGACTAGCTGACTGCAATTGTAAAGTTGAGGGAGTGTATATAATATATATACATATAGATATATAAAGTTGTTAAAATGAGTGAAAGTTGTCTTTGTTTTGATTTCATGCCTTTGTTTCGCTGCTCAGTTACTATTTTTAGTTATAAATACATATACATATACATATACATACATATTTATACCTTTATTGTTTACTCACTTGTAATAGCTGTTAGCTATCATCTTGTTATATGTCCCAGACCGAAACAATGCGATTGGGATTCAATTGATAAGAATAATAAAAAGAGAGAGAGAGAGAGTGCCAGAGTTTAAATCATTTAAGTAAAGTAAAGAGAGAGAGAGAGAGAGAAGAGAGAGAGAGAGAGGGAGAGAGAGAAAGAGAGAGAGAGAGAGAGAAAGAGAGAGAGAGTGTGTGTGTTTGGGAGAGAGAGAGACATATTTTTGTTTTTAGAAGATTCACCACTTTTAACAATTCATGAAGAGCTTAAGATGCAACTGGTATTAAGGTGTCCGATAAATAGTGAGAAACAGAGAGTGTGTGTGTGTGTGAGAGAGAGAGAGAGAGAGAGAGAGAAACAGATTGTAGCATTGACACTTGCAGTTCTTCTCAGGCATTCATCTTCAACTTAGTTAAGTAAAACAATGACCATCATTAGTATTAGTATTAGTAATACTAGCTTTTGATACTCCCCCTGCCCACAGGTGCTGCAGAGAGCTTCCTGAACGAATGCACCTCCAACGGCAGGTTAGCTGCAGCTTTGACTGGTCGCTCAAGTGGCAGGAAGTTGATTCGTGCGACTGCAATTCAACGGAATCTCGACAATGGGTCAAGAGTTTTCACCGTTTGTTTGCTCATGAGCTGATACCGCTTTAGAGGCGCGTGCGGCATCAACGTCGCGTCGGCGGACCGAGGCCTGAAGGCTGCAATGTAAACAGGAAACTGGGCAAAGGAGTCGCGAGCCGCGCAACTGAAGAGACAAAACTTGAGGCATGTTTTACACGTGAATTGCGATGACAAAAAGACGCCGGCCGAGGCCAATAAACGGGAATGGGAATGGGACTGAGAATGGGTAGAGTGGCAGGAGCAGGGGCATCCTCAGAGTGAAGGTGAAGCGCATACAACAAAAATTGGCATAAACTGAAATGGACAGCCCGGCCAAGAAGTCTTCCACGTCGTCGTCGTTGTCGTCGTCTTCAGGGTTCTCGCACTTCCATTTGTTGATTTTGTTTGCTGGATTGTCCTTCCTACACGCGACGCTCTTTATGGCCGCTGCGGATTCGTGGAAGACATTCAATTGATACGAAATTGCTGCAATATAAATGCATTGCTGCCGATCGAGCTTCAGGGAGAGAGAGGCAGAGGAAGCGAGGGAGCGAGGGAGAGCAACGGCAGGCGGCAGGTATTCGAGGCATAAATGCGGCAATAAAACGATTCTCTCGCTGATCTTCGGTTGTATTGTTGACTGGGCCTGGAAAAATGGCAGCCAGGGACACGCGTGTTCGCCGGTTCGCCAGCAACAACTCTCTCCCGTTTCGCTCTCGGGAAGTGTGCAGCAGCAGCAGCAGCAGCAGCAGCAGCAGCAGCAGCAGCAAGCAGCAAACACAATTTGTTTACAGCATTGTTATTGAGACAAAGTCACTGATTTTCAAGCAAAAAGAGACAGTCAAGCTCTGTCCACCTCTCTCTCTCTCTCTCTCTCTCTCTCTCACTCACTCTCTCGCTCCCTCTGCCTGTCTCTGTTGGGTGCGAAGGCATCGCTCATCGCTCACAATGATGTTGCAATTATTGAACCTTCTGTATTTTCAAATTTCCATCATTAATAACACAGGCGGAGACCAAGGTGAAGGCGAGATGCATCGATGCACCGATGCTGCGATGCTGCGAACGTTGTGACCATTAGCGAGTTTCGGCGGAATACGCGTGAATTCGTTTTGTCTAACAATGCGACGACTCACTGAGCGCATCAATTGAAGGAAAAATGGAATTTTCGGAATGCCAAAACGCTGCAGGTAAAGCCGGAGCTCTCCAGTCTCCGTCACAGTCTCAGTCTCAGTTCCAGTCCCAGTTCGCTCTGGCATCAACTGTAGCCCATTAACGGTCGCAGCAAGGAGCCGGCAAGCGCATAAAGATCAGCTATAATTATTCATCTTGGGTGGGGGGCAGCTTGGTCCAAGGCAATGCCGTCGCCTCGCTCGCCTTGGGACCGCTCACTGTGTTTGTCAACGCAGATGCTAATCACAACATTAGGCCCGTGCAGATTCCACTTCAAATCTCTGGCCGAACCAATGCCGAGAGCTGTGCGTTTCCCATTCGCTTCGCTCGCCTGGCAAAAACCCAGCAATTCTGGCTGCTTGGGCTAACCTCGTGCCCCCTCCGGCGTATTCGTAACTCAAGGATACGCGTAATTGCAATTGGATATACATAGGAGTTGCTCTTGCTCTTGCTGTTGTTGAGGGCCATTGCTTGGCCGTTGCCAACAATTGCCAACAGATTGCTGATGAAGCTGTCCAGCCTATTTGCCAAACAGATAATTATTTCCATCGACATTTAGCAGCAGGCGCAATTTCCTCAGATAGCCAACAGCGCGGCCGAAGGTGACAACCATCAAATGTTGGGTTAACCAAGCAAGGTACCTCGATTAGCTGCACATTCGAGCAAATTGAGCGATTTGCAGAGGAATTGGCGAACGAGTTTTGGAATCACCAAGTGAAAGAAAGAGACTTTCATCATTATTTCATCATTATTTTTTTCATTATTATACATAAATATTTTGAAATGTGCAGGAATGTTTCGAAGGAGTAGATTTAAAAGTTGTGAATGGAGAGTTAGAAATTAAACTTCATCACTAAGCTTTTTTTATAGAGAAGCTCGACACATTTCATGCAAACTAGTTAAATCAAATCAATCAATCAAATTAAGTTTTCAATTATTAACAAATGATTAGATTTTTTAAAGAAACCTTTTGTTACATAACAAAATACTTCCCTTATGTACAAAATTATGTTTTTCATTTATTGCCTTATAGAGAAAAAAATATTTTATTGATTTATCATCTTTAATTTAAGATACTGCTGAAAAAAAAATACAATAAAAATGCATGAAATGTTATTTTTTTTATTATGATATATTGAAAAACTAATAATAATAATTAGTAACGGTATTTAATAATTGAATAACTTTTTAACTTGCATTTACAAATTATATTTTCATTTAATAAATTTAGTGTTATTCTTGTTGGAAACTCCGAAAAATTACAGATTGAAGCAACGATATCAGGAAACTAGGCTTAACACAAATTAATCTGCGCATCGTAGCACTGATTGGATTGGTTTATTTAAATAATAAACTGATTTCATGCACTTGATACATTCTACACTTCTTCTCACATTCTGTCTTAGTCAGAAAGCGATTCACGGACGTGGAACTATCTGGATCTTTGCAACCGCCCCACTTGAACGTATGGCACAGGTTTTCAGGTAAATCGTAGTAGTAGCGGGTTAGGGGTGTTCTGCACGTTTTACCCGGGAATTTTTTTCTAAAGCACTGGACTACAGAATTTGGCATTTGAATCGCCCATCATGTTGATTAACTTGATTTTACTCACAGCCATCTTTGGCACTGGTGAAACCAGTTAGCAGAACTATTGTTAGCAGACCCAGCATTAGCAAATCAATCTGTTTATCACCGATCCTCATTCTGTTGCGTGTGGGACTGCCTTCACCTGGTGTCAGCGGAGAGCGAAATTAGAATGAGGGAAAAGTGCGACATTTGAGTATGGTTTATATTAGTTATTAATACGTGACTGGAACTCAAACGAAAGGTTTCGCAATGCTTGCCATTTAATAATTTAATTCAGCTTGCAGTTGACAGAGAATTGTCAGCCTATATATAACGTATATGCCATGAAAATAATAATAATATTTTAAAAAGTTTTTTTTTGGAATATAAGATATAGATATTTAAGAATAAGATTAGCCTTTTTTTTTACAAAGATGTTTTTTTTTTTTTTTTTTTTTTTTTTTTTTTTTTTTTTAAATTCATCGGTACCTTGGTAGATCGATAGTTAAGATTGCATTTATTTATTAGAGCTTACAATTAATATAAAATAACAAAACGAACTTTAGTTAGTAATATGGGGTCTTTGGCTTGTTATATTTTGCATAAACTTAAAATGTTGGTGTAATTATTGTCACGGTGAGAAAACCCAATTTGGGCCTAGTATAACTTCATATATCACGGTCTAGCTTGGCACATGCGTGACAGAATCAATCAATCTTTTATATGGAGTTGGTTATGGTATATGAAGTATATACAATAAGTCTATCAATATACATTTAAGCTATCAAGGAATCAGAGCTTAGCCGCTGCAAAATGATTACATTTGATTCACCTGCTTTAGATTCTAAGCAGAACTTTAAAAGACAACAAATACGGATCATTAACCATGAGATTCTGACTTCTGAATTTGGACAACAGTGAAGATAGCATGAGCAGTGCTGATTAATGAATCCAGATGAGTACATTTAAGTCACAGTGTTTGAAATGTCTCTCTGACTTAGCTTACAAAGAAGGTAAGCACATTTATTGCCGTTACAGGTGTTGATGTTTTCATTTTGAGAAGAAGTCTGAACTGAGCTGATTTCACACACACAGTCTAGTCCATATGTCTAGCTTCTTCCTCGATTGTTGCATTTGTGAAACCCAAATCGTGTCAAAACGAAACCAAACAATCTCAAGATGTGAGCAGAGCATCCTTCAGTAGGAAATCAACGGGAAACCACTCGAGCATCGAAGCGCTGTGGAACTACCGTTTAGCTGCTATCGCTGCTAATGTTTCCCCGAAATGCACATTAGCTCTAAGTATGGATGTTTAGTAAGTAGTTAGTCGTAAAAGTGCAACTGCAAAATGTGGCCCGGGCCACTTGAGAGAGCCTGGTCGCTGGACCACCCAAGAGCACTGAGAGCTAAAGTCTTCTCAGTAGACTTTGGGCAGCTTCCACTGGAGTGAAAAGTTTTTCTGATTTGATTTGATTTTTGTTTTTTATTTGGGAAAATCTAGGACGCGACACTTAGTCTCATGGCTCGCATGTAAACAAAGTGCAAGAGTTTTCCAGAATCGTTATCGACAAAGGATTTGGGCATCAGATTACGTCAACTGCTGTTGTTGTTGTTGTCGGTGTTTGTCGTGGGAGGAGTTGCGAGTTGAAGCATTGCGTAATTTATGACGAGCCGCGCACTGTAAACACACCGAGTGCAAGTGACCAAATAAACCAGCATAGCATGTAATTGGATCGTGGCCACGGTCCGACCCACTTGTACTCGACACTCCGCTAAGAGAGCTAGAGCGAGAGGGAGGGAGAGGGATAGGGAGAGGGAGAGGGAGAGAGGGTGCCTGGAATGCGAGTGAAGTGGCGCTGAAGGATGCGCCAAAGGATCTGGTGGGTCGCACATGTTTGCAGTCATAAATCAACGAATGTTATGGCTGCCCTCGGCCAACGGGCCTCGCCGCTGTCAGTGGAGAAAACGCATTTTCACACTTTTCGTCTGCGTAATTTGAATACTTTACAAGCGGCGTTCGCTGGAAACCCAAACGGAGCATTATTAATTACACACTTGGATTGGATTTCTGGTGCTGATTAGTGCTGTAAGCGATATCATCGGGGCACCAGCGACAGCGGCGAGTGAGCAGTGCCCCGGCTAGCAATGGGTGGGCGTACCATTAATAGCGCTTTAATTAGAGATCAATGGATCAGGCGCGCAACGGGATTTGCGTTTTGTTATTTTCTTGTTACCCTTTTCGAGTTAATTGAAAAGCATTCAAAATAGCTGAGCCAAACCAGAGTTGCGCTTGGCCAAATCAATTAGGCCTCTGGTCAAAAGGCGCACGCATTAATCAAAGCCTCGTTGCGCCTCGAGGGGGGCGGCCTATTGGGCCATTGTGTCTGCAGAGCGGTGCGTGTGGTAGTGGGGTAGTGGGATAGTGCGGAGGAGGGGGGGCTGAGCATTGGGGTTGGTGCGTATTTTGATTGGCTTTTTGGTGCTGCCGCCATTGCTGCTGTCGCCGCCGCCATATTGCCAAATCACAAGCGCAAATAAAAGGAATGACGGAGCGAGGGGGCGAAGGGGCGAGGGGGCGCACTGTTAAAGAAATATGAAAATCAACAGCCGGCAAAATATGACCCCCCCCGCCGTTTATGACAAGCGCGGCGGCTAAAATCAAAGTCAAGCAGATCATAAAAAAAGCTCTCGCTGTTGTTGTTCTTGTTGACAGCACCCCCCGCCCCGCTCTCACGACTCACCTGAACTCTGTTTGCGTGCTTATTTTTATTAGATTTTGCGACATTTTTGTTGTTGCGGCTTATCGCAGACGGCGCAATTTTATGGCCACACACACAGGCGGCCGATAAGCGGACGTTGCATTAAGTAGCCGCTGTCACGGGCGGTGGCAAGGGAGGAGCCTGCTGCAGCGCTAATTTGACCAGTAATCGTTGCTGCTCAGCCGAGGATCAATCTAATTATTTTGCCAAATAAATACAACCCTTTGCTGCAGCCTTTCGCTACGGCCAAGCAGCAATGACAAGTCAGAGATACACACACACACACACACACACACGCACGTACAGACGTACAGACAGCTAGAGCTCAGTGCAGCTAATCCTCAGCAGCTACACCTTTGCCATTTTCCAGGTAACTGCAAGGAGTAAAAGTGCGTCGCGCCCACCACAAGGCGCGCACACAATGAGAGCGCATCTTTGCTCACGATTTTGGGCTGGGAAGGCGCGCAGGGTATCCGACTCCGGACTCGGACTCGATGTACCTGGGCCAACCCCTTTTAATTACGCTGGTAAAGGGTACACCCCTTTTTGGCCTTTTGGCAATTTGGTGTTTTGGTTTCTGGTCGGCTCGTTGCCCAACTATGTCCTTGGTACCTTTATTGCCATTGCAATATACTACATACATATATATGTATATTTATTGTCGATATGGCGAGTCGCGGGCGTGACGCGTTTATGGTGTGTTTAGATACTTTTCGCAAGCAATGCGAATCGAGACAATGCAAAGAACTGCAACCGTCTAGCCTTGACTTCTGCCCGGGCACATCCCCTTCGCAATAAAAGTGCATTTCGCGCATATTTACCTAATTATGAAATCCATTTCAGCTCAAGGCCTGCGACAATTTTTCGACTTTTACTTTTCGCGACTTTTTGCCATCGCTGAAAAATCACATTTTCCACTTTTCATTGGAAGCATCGTCGTGTGTTTATTTTGATTGTTTGTTTACATTTTCTTTGCGTTTGGCCAAATTGCTTTTGACTTTGCCTTGAAATATGAGTTAGAGCTCGAATAGAGCATTTGCTGTTCTAAGTAGTTAAAGTCTATGCAAAAGCATGTGCAGGAGTATGGAATGGAGTATAGGCCTCGGCTGGCATTTAATTTGTTGTCTGCTTGTTTTGTAATCCTTCTTGTTTGCTCTTGAATTTGTTGACAAATGTGAAATAGTCAAATATCTATTGCAAATTAAGTAAATTAAATTTAATGATTGGAACCGCTTTGGCAATTGATTTATTCATTTTTATTTTATTTTTTCAATTTATTTTAATTTGTTTTAATTCATTCATATTTATTTTTAATGTTAATTTAAATTTGAGAAAATGTATTTAAATTAGTTTTTAGTTTATGCCTAATCAAGAACATCAACGATTAATACGTTCTTCTTTTCTCTCTGGATGCACAAAAATTCAATGTTTATTTTGTATGCGCCTTATGCTTATTAGTTTATTTGAATGAAAATGTAAATTTTTGTCGTAAGAAAA